GGTGATTTGTTCTATTTTAGTCTATTAAAAAATACATACTCATGAGCCACTGAAAGGTCACACAAGCTATAGCTTGAAAAATACTACTTGAGGATATACCCAGGAGGGGACTTGGAGGGCCAAAGATGTCCATTTTTAATTTTACTAGATATTGCTAAATGTCTTTCCAATTCGTATTTATTTACGTCCCCACAGGCAGTGTGCTGTAGTGCCCGTTGCTTCTCATTCTTACAGTCGGTGTTACCAGTCTTTTTTCATTTTTGCCAATCTAGCAGGCATGAAATGGTATCTCAATATTGGTTTAATTTGTATTGTAGAGCTAGAGGTTCCAGCCAGTGCAATAAGACAAGGTAGATCACCATTTTAGATCTTTATTGTCTTCTTGATTTTCTTTCTTTGCCTATTTCCTGTTTATACCTTTGCCCATTTTCAACTCGGTTTTTGTTGTCTTTTTTTATATCAATTTGTAACAATTATTGATATATATTTTTTGTTCCTTTTCCAATAATATGCGTTGCAGTCATTTTCCACCAGTTTGTTGCCTACCCCGTTTGTTATTTTTTTGTTCATGAGGTTTTTATTTATATTATTGTGAAATTTATTAATCTTTTACCTTACAAAAGTATATAAGGTAACATTTTATCCTTTTGGGATCTTGTTCAAGGAGTTCTTCTTAACTCTGACTTTATAAAATATTCTATAGTAGTTTATTGTAGAAATTATAATTTTTTTTTAATTTTCATTTTTAAAAGTTTGTATTTATTTATTTTTAGGGATAGGACCTTACACTGTCACCCAGCCTGGAGTGCAGTGATGCAATCATAGCTCTCTGCAGCCTCAAACTCTTGGTCTCAAGTGATCCTCCTGCCTCAGTGTCCTGAGTAGCTAGGACCTCAGGTGTGCAGCACCATGCCTGGTTAAGTTTTAAATTTTTTTTGTAGAGATGGAATCTTGCTATAGTGCCCAGGCTAGTCTTGAACCCCTGGCCTCAAGCAGTCCTCCTGCCTTGGCCTTCCAAAGTGTTGGATTATAGGGTTCCTTTTGTTTTTCATTGTTTTGTTGAGGTTGTTTTACATTTAGGCCTTTAATCCACCTGGAATTTGTTTTTGTATGTAAGGATCCAATTTCATTATTTTTCCATGTAGATAACCAGCATCATATATTTAACAGCCTATGTTTTTTTTGTCTTTCTGACACAGGAGAATGTTTATGAAATCTGCAGTTCAGTTGCATTTGTTTGTCTATCCCTGAGCCAGGTCCACACTAGAGATATAATGACTACAGATATAATCTTATTTATTTATTTATTTATTTATTTATTGAGACGGAGTTTCGCTCTTGTTACCCAGGCTGGAGTGCAATGGCGCGATCTCGGCTCACCGCAACCTCCGCCTCCTGGGTTCAGGCAATTCTCCTGCCCCAGCCTCCTGAGTC